ATTTGAAACATCGCGAACTCGCAAATTTGACTAATTTGTTTATATTCGTGAGACGTTAGCCGTCGGTGCTCATCATGTCGCAACCTCGAACGAGGCTACGGATTGATGACGTACTAACGGGTCGGAATATCACGTGTATCAGAAAACACAAATGAATCTAGTGCAAGTGTGGGGTAATTTGTTAAGAATAGACGCGGTTTTAATTGTTGAGTGAAAGGTTTTATCAAATAAATGACACAGATCAAATAAACAATGCGGGTGCTTGAATTGTTTCTGTGTAAATAACCATTTTTTGGACCTCTGGGAAATAATTTGGCGTGTGACGTTCCTGTGTTAAAAAATGCACATGCATTCTTAGTACCAGGACAATTTGTTTAGCAAGTCACTCAGATACGATGTTTCACTTTGAATGACAAATTTACTGGATATGAGTGTATATAAAACGTCTTCAAATGATTTGGGTTGTAGGGAGTATGATCGCCAAAAGGAACGGAATTCACGCAGGGTAATTAAAATTACCGCAACTACATTCCATGAGATGATAAAATACCAAACTATGGCCTGGGTTTTGTTTGCATTCATTTTCAAATGAGAAGCCGCGGCGATTGATTGTAACTACGTTTTCCAAATCGAATGCAGACAATATAACGCCTAGTCGCAATTAATTATTCTACCTGTGATACATCATCGATATAGTGTGAACTTAACGCGAATAGTGAAGTAGATTTAGTGTCAGGAACGTCGCATAATTGTGGGATAAACAATATCCCACAATCCATTAGTATTTTCACAATGTCCTCGCGTTCAGGAAATATGTGTATATTGCCATGATATGAATGTTAACAAAAAAATAGAATGTTGAGCAACAAAAAGCGATATAATTAAAGACCAATTCGGTCTGGCTTTGCACGAATACATGTATACTGCTTGAAATTGAAACTGGTGTCCTCTTACTTTCATATGAGTAGGGTGGAAGTAGAAAGTCAAAACCTCACTTCCGTCCTCATATAGACCGTGACTACGCAAGTAAAGTAGTCGGCTAGCCAGACCAAGTAGACAGATGTGCGACATGACGACATACCATACTGAAACTACAAGTACTCACATGCCAAGGACATTTCGTAATAACTTAAACTTTAAGAAATCAGTGACGGGGTTATACAATATAACACCCTAACCATTAAATTTTAGCCCAGCTGGTTCTGGGTTTATTAAAGACGAAGTGTGACGTCATTGTTATTTTCCAATTTGTATGATCCGTGTACGCATCGCGTAGGATTTGATTTTGTGATCAGACATCACTCCCTTCGCTACAGTTTCTGCTCTCCGATATCATTTCGGGATGTGTTGCCATAACAACCAATTTTATCATTTTTCACAGGCCATCACAATAATAAGTGGGTATTATAAAGAACCTTGGCAAACAACAACACATTGATCCCTGATGAAGTTCCACAAACGTAGGAGAATACAATTTACGTTTTAACACCACTTTTCATTCTCTAGATATTCACTATTGTATTCAGGTACCCGCCATCTTGTTATTCTATCAAAGGATTGTGGGTAAAGTGTGACATATAAAACTGTTCTTCTTGGCCTGAATTACACCTTTGAGTAATGGAGGTTTAATCGACTGACTGCCTTCGTACTGTGCTCTAATTGCAACAACATGGAGTGGAAAGTGTGAAGCATGAATTAAAATAATTACGAGAATGGCCGCTGTGGGCAACTCTTTAGCATTAACCATCTCAAAATGTGACTTGACGATAACCAGTAGAACTGAGCATGCACTTTAACATGTTATGACGTTTTGTTAACGTACTAGTACACTGCAAACTAACTAGTAGAAATACAATCTTATAGATATATCATCATAGAAGGAGTACTTTGACCGGGTATGGAAGGGGAACTCACTTTTGTCCCTAAAGAATTTTATCCCACACAAATATTGAACGTCTTTGCAGAGAAAATTAATTCAAGCTAAAATAAAGTATTTTGCAGTATTCACTCAGCAAATCTGAGTCTCATCGTAGTCATACGGTGACGTTCAGTTGGTGAAACAACATTGAAGTTGCTTTTTGGTTGTTTACTGCATGTATGAAAAATTAAGGCGACATGTGGTTGAAAATTTCTACTGAGTTCAAACGCGTACATCATTAAACGTTCGATTATCTGATGGACCTCTGCCCAGTGACCCCCTTTTATGTCGGACAAAAGTTATGGACTACTTTTCTTCACTTGATTGTTAAATTGCGTGACATGCTGTCGGCATCTCATATCGTGTGGCTGTCAGTGCGTTTGCTGGTACGTTAAAGGAAATGAAATATATTTATAGAATAGTTGTTAAACCTGTAATGGACTCTTAATAACTTCTCAAACAGGTGCTAGATGGCGGTAGGTATGACTGTCCTTGATCTTAGGCAAGGTGACGTCGTTCCGTATACGCACGATGCATTGTTCTGAAGGGAAAATTATTGCGAATGATACCCGTACAGGACTCCGTCGCTTTGGAGTGTTCGGTATACTCTATTTGTGGTACGTAGTGCGAAACCGCGCATGCTCAGTTAGACAAATAGTTATAAAAACATCACAATTCAAAGTGATTTAAATACTTGCCCCTTATCTGAATATATTCATTGTTAGACAGTGTTTCTCTATCGCTACAATTTACATTGTCGTACAGAATAAAAAAAAAACTGCGCTCTGTATTCAACATCTGTCTTCTCTGTCACGATGGTTGCTATTAGCCTTGCTCTGACAGTGGTCGTAATGTAAACAGCCGTCTAAAATGGGGGGGGGTGCAGACGTCCGAATTCCGATTCCAAGACATTGACAATTGGATAACGACTCAGTCTCGTGAAAGAAATATAATGCAGTGATCATGGGTTATCTTTCAGTGAAGTTAATGGCGATATTATAGAAATATTGACTCGGGCCGAGGTCGATATACAGATTTGTTGACCGGGGCGAGGCCCAGGTCAACAATGCTTTCTGAGGGCCGACAAATCTGTATATCAGCCGAGGCTGGGGTCGATATTTGTATTATTATACCGAATAAAACAAATACTCTTGTAAAAAGCTGCATTGCAAGATCTCTCCTGTCCAAGATTTTGATGACAATATCCATATTGTTCTCCATCGTACTTATATTCCACAATCACTTCCGAAATTACTGTCACATTTAAGATTGTTGTAGAAATCAACTAGCTACGAACGATTATCTGACATTTCAGAAGCCGTGGCGTTTACACCTGACGCGCGCGCACACATACACTCACGCGGGCCTAACTAAACGCAATATAATAACACATTTCCGGTTAAATGAGCAATCCACGTATGTGTACGATACACAATGAGTAATGAAATTACCTTAGTGAAATAAACAGATGCACTAAACGTCGGTATACGTCAACATATCCTGCGATACCGTGCGACAAGTTATCAGCGCTATCTACGTATACGGTGTGGCCCATACAGTCGTCGTATCCGATGTTGTTCGAAATGTTCACAAATTAAAGGTGATCCCCGGGACAACGCCGACGAACCTCAACGGCGAATCGTAAGAAGCCGATTATAACGTCTTTGACCGCTGACAAGTCAATGTGCAATTATATTGACCAAAAAATGCGATTATTAATATAAATATCTGAAACCATAACGACTGTTCGTGTCGACAATGAGGTCAGTTTTGTTACAGACGGGTCAGCTGTCGTTCAGCACATTACACACGTGCTGATATGCGAGGAATGTAAGCGTAATATTTCAAGGGATAAAATAAAGAAATGTCGGCATTAGTTTCAAGTGACGTGAATTTTAGAGTAGCAGCTACTCCAATTCCACCATATGACCGAAACTGCCAGAGTGTCTGATGCCATCATAGCGCGCGCGCGGTTGTCGAGACATTGGTTTTATTTGTATTGTTTGGATTCGAGAGCCTATTTTTAGTTCTAGACGGTTTCCGTACTGACTATAGGTCCTTCCCATGCGTGAACGGAACTAGATTTAACTATGGTCCTACAAATTAAACCCCATAAGTCCATCGTCTAGCCGATAAGCAAACTTATTGGATTTGTAGCTTTCAATCCCAGACCGTGCTAGAATGTAGTCTGAGCGCAGTTTATAAAGCCGGATAAGCGGGGAATGATAAAATTCGTACTACTTAATTACGAAATTGCAAATCACAATCACAAAATTTCGAGTTGGTCATGTATTAAAATATTTGCAATCATTTATTGTTTTCGAATACGAGAAATATACAATTTATATTAAATAATGAATATTTTGACAAAGTACTTTACATGTAGCTTTACATTGCATTTGATGCCTTCTTATTAACATGAGTGTATAACTGTCAGATGTTTTGTACTTTGCCTTAAAGTTAGATGTCCGATGAACAAGCGTTGGACTGTGAATCATGCCGTGAGTCCTCGTCGCCGCCTTCACTGTGTTCAGCTATATCTGTGTTGTAATAAACACAAAACATATACCACGCGTTTAGTTTGGAACTGTCTTAACATATTCACGAATTCCGCGTTGTCTGACTGTATATAATGTAACTATGTTTAATACATGTGTAATATATTAAAAATTCCTTATGTGGCGTGCATTATTAAGACGTTGTGTACATAGCGCCTCTATAACAGAATGCCCCGATTAATTCACACGGCTCCACCCTGCTTGTGACGTTTTGTTTATTAGTTCCTTATATGGCACGTGACGGTGACGTTTCGGACGAGTTTATAAACATGGAGGGATGTTGGTATGGGGGTTGGACTCGTTCATTCTGACGAAAAATACTGAATATAGTAGTAAAAAAGCATACGTACCAATTACTATTAATATATCAAGTCTCGCCTTAACAATTGCTGAATAATATTGCTGGGCATCTGCTCCATCAACGCCACGTTTACTATCATACCCTCCTTAATAAATGGTTTTACCCAACAGGGGGGGACATTCTCGTGACCTGATCAGTATGCTATTGTAAAGCTAGAACCACACCACCTGCGTAAGGCCTATCACATTAGCGCGTGTTAGTTGTTCGTGAAAGGAGCGTTTTTAAATACGAATTGGTGTGTACGGGTAGCCAAGGACCACCACATCACTAAACATTCAAATTCATTCATACGTTGTGTTCGGCAGAGATAGCAGGACAAAGACCGAGTCATTTGTTGTACTGATAACAGACAGTATCGTATCTTCGCGAGCAGTGTGTTCAACTATACATACACACCAATATTTCCAGATTGACCAGGCTTTCGTGTTGACTGAATCACAATAACACGAGGAAATACTTCAAAGTTGAACTAGAAACGTAGCCGTATTCGTAATTCCCGGTACAGAGGGCACGGAAGCAAGCTCACGAAAACACTCAATTACTGTCGCTGTTGCGTAGTATGCTCATATCGAAGGCAACACAAGCCGTAGCTCTTCGAATGAAGGATGTCAAAGGACAAATGGAAAGGCAACTCGAAGGCAACAATAACAAACAAAGACTCAAACAACAGGCTTCCACTGGTAGCACGGATACATTGACAGAGGACCCAGATGTTATTTCGGACCCGACCTCAGACAAGCAGTATGTGAGGGGTCGGCTGTTGGGCAAGGTAAAACAACTTATGTACATAAATAAATCTCCTTTGTGTGCTCAGTCGTTTTAATATTTAACGTCTCGCGAGTGTTATTGTCACAAATGTGCAATTTACAGGACATACACTAGTGAAGAGCTGTATTCAGTTGTACGTGGGTATTACTTGGTCGCGGCGAAAGAGGTCAGGGAGAGAATCAAGCTGTATCCGGAATAGATAACAATGCTTGTTTACACCACAATTTATCCTAATTGCTGATGAACGTGTTTTCGGTATAAATATATATGGATCCCGGTCTCAATCATCCCCATTCGTTAGCCCGAATCAGAAATTAACCATCCCCAAATGACGACATTCAGTGATACGCAGTTTGTTGAGGGTTAGGGTCGATTCGGCCGGTCAGTTTGTCTTCGGTCACCAAGTGTGAATTCAGTCGGAATATAGACGCATGTCCGTAGTCTGAATGACATATTTTAATTTATCGGACGTCTTTGTTTCGACGGTTACGAGAATCTATTGGATTAGAGTCGAAACGTAACCCATAACAGCATAGTTTCATGCCATCGGCCATTTTGACAGCCTAAATGCGAGACAGAACGGGAAGCGTTAGGTGATTCGTTTCCTTGCTGTAGTTCAGTGTTTTATCTCCGTGAAGTGTTTGATGTGTTGTCAAATGCCGGTTACGGAAGTCTGAAGAACCACCGCAGTTGCTGTTTTTTTGGCGTTACGGAGGTCGGGCGAAATGACCTAGAAAGCTGAAAACTGCCTATTGAGTGCGTTTGACAAGCATGAAATATAAATGTATTGTTCATTTCAACCGCGGACGTCAAAATTGGTCGCCGTTTCGTGGGGTCATGGTAAAAACGGCAAACAAAAGACGTCCCAGAGTACCGCACGTTGTCTAGACCACTGTACAACAACATGATACGGTACTTTGCAGATGCTATTCTCCACGGTGGTCGGATTTATCCGCAGCGTGGCCAAACATTTACGGCCAAACATTTACATGTATCATGTTGCATTTCATATCCGTTTCAGTGCGTCTAATATAGAAACAAGCATGCTGGGACACACACAGCACCTAGCTGCGTATATCAATTTATCGATGTCAACGACTCTTGTTATTTTTATTGATATCATTCTGTGGTACTTGTAGCGCTGCTTGTCGCGCATTTTTGGCAAGTTCCGAACCCTCGCCATATGGTGCGCTTGCACTACTTTTATATAGGTAATGAATTTCAGTATATTATATTTTCCCAGGCACTTGTATATTTCGCGAGTTGATGACTGCGAACAGTGCATTCAGCGACCAAGACCGAAGCGTTCAGATACCCATTCAGCGTAGATTGACACTTTTTGAAATTGGAATAACAATAAAACTAAAAGAATGACAACCTCACATACTTAATTTGTACGAAATCTCAGATTACAATCCATATAACCTACGTGTATTATTATAAAACCATGTGCTATTTTTTTTTTTGTAATGCGACATTGTTCCTCTCGTGCGTGGCTATCAGTGTCGGGTGGATGACGTAGATATTGATATTCAGCTCAAGCAACAGGTTAATCAAAGGGCGCGGTCATTATAGATGCTTATCACACCTTTTATCAAAACAACAACGGTAATGCAAATCAGGCAACCGTTGCCACGATTTCTTGCAGGGCACAAAGAGAAGTTGCCGATACGAGTATGCCCACGTACGTCGTCGACTCTTCTCGTTAAAACAAATGCCCCGTATCTCCACCTTGAGTTTGTACTTGGAGACGTTGTCCGTCTTGTCATTTACATCGCTATGTGATGTACATTTTCTGTTATGAATCATTGTCGTTCAAAAATGAATATTATAAGAATTTATTTTCCTCTAAATTTGACAGATTCTAATACTACCTGTTGACATAGTTACTACAGATCCATGTACAAATGTGCACACATGGGTAGTTTTTACCTGGGTTTGACCTACATCGGGATAAGATGAATCGTCACGCCGCTAGGAAGCAGAATTATAAAGAAGAAACAAGTAAAATTTTAGACGTGTATTATAAGCTATTTCTGCAGAACTACACCCATTCAACATGTCGCATATTACGACGTTATTACTTTTGCAGAGGATGATCTACCAGAGATGGGTTAGCTACGGCAGTGAACAAAAAAAAAGTGTTTTTTTACGACTTGAATAATGAATGGGTTATTACTGCGACCTCTCAGGCTCTCGATAAGACGTACGTGTCCTGATACGGGCAAACAGTACACGCTTTGCTCGGAGATAGGTTATAATGGCTGCTCGGGAAAATAATCGTCGCCGTCATTAAGAATAAATTAGAATTCAGCTGTCTGCGGGGGGGGGGGTAAGCACACTTCGATGAAGGTATACTATGCATGAGCGCGTGTTTCGTGACAAATGTGCAAATGTAATACACCAAACAATATTAACGACACGTATGATAACACTCGACGTTTCGATGCTACAATTAAAACAAAACAAAAAGTGAAACAAACCACGCTTTGTATGCATCGCATGGGGCCCATATCGTCAACGTGGCTACCTAAGCTCTTCCAGAAGTTTTCCCTAAGCTGTATTGTGTATCCGCCTGTACGTTAATTGGGGGATGCATCTAGGACTTCAGGGTTGGGTCTCGGTTCACTCAAATACTCCCAGCTCCACATGACTGACAATAAACCACGTAAGAAGCAGCTGTAAACTCAATAAATGTTTTATATCAATGGCTCGTCTACAAATATTGCGATGTTTACAGGGAGACCTTTACAGAAAATAAATAATTGCGTTTGTATTAGTTGGCGCATCGGCCGCGGCATTCCTGATCCATAAAAGAAATTTACGTGTTTTATTATTAGATGTAAAATAATTAGGCATCAACCATTATGACAACCATGTCGCGCCACTGATGGGATGTATACTTAAAAATACCCAATTAATATTACGATTTTGTCACGTGACATTTCTGAAAATTTTCTCATAGGCGGGCGGGGGGGGGGTCCTCCGTACCAATAGATTTCCATCAGTCTCTCGGCAACCGATGTTGATAGACTGTGCTCGTATTGGCATGGTTATCAGTATTCAAAGCAAATGGTTATTTTTAAAGCACCGTACTACATTATACAATTGTGCGTGTATCTTGACTATTATTGTAACAGTGACGCGCGAGTGTGTACGTCACTTAGGAAAGCAATTGTGGGCACTGACAAAGCCTTGTATTTCAGTTTGAGATGCGTGTCCTCGGTTGCAGGTTTGCATCCTGCTGAAATGGGGCTATTTTAGAGAATGTCACATGTGTTATAGCGACACGGTCGCTTCACCGTGCCCTGTTGATACACTGACATACATAAACTCGTACTAAAGATGTTGACTAAAACGGGAATTTTAATATTCCGATGATCTGCCAGAGTCCCAGATACCTAGGGACTGCATCCGATCGGATAAATACTATTCATAATACTAGAATATTGTGACGTCACGACCCACTTAACCTACCCATCATAATATCAAACAAACACGGGACATAGACCCAAGTTTTAAAACAAAATCAAAATATCTTAAAACTTAAAAGCGTTGAAGTTTAAACGAACAATTCACTCTATATACTAGGTTAACTGCGCATCTGTTAACTGTATGTCATTTCAGAGTACCATCACTACGATCCCCATCCCACCGCTTTGCGGAATAGAAACTCCATACGATGTAGTTTTTAAACACACAGCTACCGGCAATGTCAATGACCATTTGTAACCACTTTAAATATAGCAGAAACATTTGAAAGATGTAGCATTGTGATCTCAACTATGCACATGCATATCCTGTGTATACTGTACTTAAGTTGATACTTCATAGTGTGGTTTCGAATACTAGTACAAATGTATATGCAAATACGACAGATGAACTAATAAAGTACGTTTTTGTTTTCAGGGCGGTTTTGCGAGATGTTACGAACTTACGGAATCTACCTCAAAAGTGTTGTACGCGGGCAAGATCATTCCAAAAACTCGAATATCTAAACCTCATCAAAGACAGAAGGTAAAGAGAAATGAAATCTACACTCTATTGATAGTAGTTTGGGTAACGTTGTTCAATTGCAGGTCGGTGTACTCATGGTCGGTAGCCTCGTACACGTACCACCCACTGGTTTAGCGTATGTGTTAAATGCATATGTTATTCACACCAGTGGATACTCTGTTATTTGCTGATGTTCACATATTTGTGTTTTCTTTTTCCTTCACAGCTTGAGCGAGAAATCCATCTGCACTCCCAGCTTGCGCACCATAACGTTGTACAGTTTCTGGATTACTTCGACGATGATGAGCACGTCTATATCATCCTCGAAATCTGTAATAAAAAGGTTAGCGAACGAGGCTACAACTTGTTGTCATTGCTGTTATTTATTAAGAAGGGTATTTGAACTGATAGTTTATATATGCCTTGTGCGGTCGGTGTTATTTATTAAAGTGCATATCAGTGGCTCCATCGTGGTTTAATGAATTATTACTTTGGATGTGATACGATATGGGGGGATGCCCGGATGCTCTCGCCTGTTAGTAATTTGACTGTACTTTAATATATTTACCAGCAACTTAACTTCCCAAAATAGTTAAAGGTCACTGCGCAATGGAGGTTATGTTCGCTTGATCTAATAATGCACATTAGCCCTCGAGCAGTATTGTTTACTGCAAATCGATGCACCGTAAGACAATCCTAAATAATGATAAAAATCTTAAAGACGCCACACATTTAATTTGTTCTCTGTGACAATCAACGTTAGGATTTTTTTTTTCTTTTGCAGTCTCTGATGCACACAATGAGGCAACGAAAGACTCTGACGGAACCGGAAGTGCGTTTTTTCCTCCTCCAAATCATTGAAGGAATACAATATTTACATAGCCAGAATGTGATCCACAGAGATTTGAAGCTTGGAAACATTTTAGTCTCAGACAGTATGGAGATTAAGCTAGCTGACTTCGGTCTGGCAACGAGATTAGAGTTCGACGGCGATAGAAAAAGGTGAGTTGAAACAGAACCCATCGCCGCAGGACGTCCTTCGAAAACGTCTGGTTCCGTTGCTTAGTTCTTGAAAGTTTTGTATTCGATGCCATTGTTTCCCCGCAAGTGGTTGAACAATTTAAATGGACAACACTTATGGGGAGTCAAATGTACCAGAACTACGGAGTTCACATAAGCATGGTGAACTCAGTGTATCGAAACACTATTTCGCCATCTACTTCAATTACTCGTAACGGAATACATTATTTCAAAATTGAGACATTCATTCCCATAGTCGAACCAAACAAAAATTCAATTAAAAATACCTTGTTTTCATTGCACAGGTGGTTGCTCTAATTGTGCGTCTTAATGTGGCATTGTACTCGGTTTTGACTTTCTGTATGTACTTTAATCGATCGTACATTCCGTGGTGTCATTTTCACTCTAAAAGTATTCAACATTCATTGTATTTTGTCAATGGCATGTTTGTGTTATTTTTTACAGGACGATTTGTGGAACGCCTAACTACATTGCACCAGAAGTTTTAGAGAAGATTGGCCATAGCTATGAGGCTGATATCTGGGCTATTGGTTGCGTCATGTAAGTTTATATCAAGTCCTGAGTTTCAGTTAGGGTGGGTTATTATAATGTAACGATGTTCTAAAATTAGGGAGTTCATTCTTCATTTAAACTACGATTAAATTCTCGTTTTTAGGTACACTATGCTTGTCGGGAAGCCACCCTTCGAAGGAAGTACTTTAAAGGAGACCTACTCTAGGGTTAGAAACAACAAATACAATCTACCATTCAGCCTCCATTCCTCAGCGAAAGATCTTATAAAACAGCTATTGAACAGTAAACCGGAAGATCGCCCGGGTTTGGAGGAGATCTTGCAGCACGAGTTTTTCACCCGTGGGTTTACGCCCACATATCTACCGCCCAGCGTGTGTCACACTGCCCCAAGGTACGCCACAACCGACGCTGGAGCTGTCGACGTCGTGGATGGGGACTACAAATCACGCGAAGAGCCCAGGAGAAGATTTTCTGAACTCTCATCGGCACTTCAACATCTCCGAGGAGGTAGAGCTAAGGTGAGAGCACCTTTTTTTGCTTCAAAATAGAAGATTTTTGAAACAAACTGAGAATACAGTGTAAATCGGTCATGCGAGAGTTATAGTTATTTGTTAATTCTTTTTCATTGCTTAGGTAACCAGCAAACCTCCGACACCCCCCTCCACTAGTAAACATCGTCGAAGTTCAACAGACAAAACCAAAGCTGTTACTCACGCTATTAAAAATGCTGTTTCTTCAGTGATTGAATCATCCAAAGGTAAACAACCATTCCAAGACCAAAGTTCAATATAATGATAATTTGTATTGAACTCCTATCCTTATTTGCATTTTGATTACAAATGCACCCTTTGAGAGTTTGTCAATTTTTGTTTGTGGGGCAACTGGTTGTGTGTATTTCATGGTCTTTGTTTGAGGCAGTTATCAATAAATTTACTTATTTTATTGATTAGTTTAGCTTATTTTTTATTCATATTATTTTCATCCGACAAGAAAATGTTCAAAGTCTTCAAAATTTATTTTGCGTCAACCGGTTTTGATCCCATAGATTAAGAAATTGTTCATACCAGTACCAATTTTCAATATTAAGTTTGTATGCTTCTGCAAGCGATGTACTCTATGCACATTTGTTTTAAACTTTAAAAAATGGGTATATTCACCTAATTCTTGCAGGCATGCTAAATTAGTTGCCTCAAAGTTCACCTGAAGCGGTGTTGGGATCATAATATTGTTTGAATGGCAAATTGAGTCACTTACTCAAATGTCGCTAGAATAGAATAGAATAGAATAGAATAGAATAGAATAGAATAGAATAGAATAGAATAGAATAGAATAGAACTGGCTTTCTCTCGTGTTCATATCTCTTAGTGGCATACTAAGATTGGAGGTTATCTCTGATATGTTTTTGTCACGTGTTCATGTGTATAACTGTTTACAGAGTTGGGGTATAATGCAATTCGACTTAAATGTCTGTCCAACTTTCACGGATTTACTATTTGTATGCTTTTTTCCTGCAGGCCAATCGCCGCCAAAGTCCAGCAACAACATTCCCCCAAGCAAAGTTCAAGAGATGTTAATGACATGTACGCGACACATGCCTGAAGGTATGTCACGTGTCAATCGCAATTCCTTATTGTCGCATTAATTATTCATCATCTTTTCCGTCTTAACTCGTCAAAAATTCAATTCACGTATAAAAGCATGACTAGCCACATTTGTCATCGTATAAGAGCATATGTCAACACCCTAGTGACTAATCGTCCATTTTGATCAAACTATTCGTTCTTAGAATCCTGCATCCGTCCACGCAGCAACAAGACACAAAATGAAATGTAAATCAATGTTTGTTTTTTGTGTTTATCTACAGAGCCCTACAATAGTACACCCAAGTACAAACCTAAAGGTTCAGAGGTACTCTGGGTTACCAAATGGGTCGACTACTCTAATAAATACGGGTTTGGGTACCAGTTATCCGATACATCGGTTGGTGTCATGTTCAACGACAACTCGAGAATTTGTTTTCTTCCAAACAGAAGGTAAAGGCATTCCCACCAGTCACAACATTACATGTAATCATGGAAAGTCCTAACGTTAGTACCTTCCATGATATAATGTACTCTTTACCACAATAACCGAACTATATTTGACGAGGAAGGAAGACATTATAGGTTTAATTGTGATTGTAATTAAAACACAATTTATGTTCTGATTAGTCGTGCCTAAAATAGATTTGCTTCACGATATTGAGCCCATGCGCTAAGAATCATTTGTACGTATTTTGTATTCATGGTTGGTACGCAATCTGCACGAGTTGGGTTCAATTTTTGTTCACGATGAATCATAACCTAGTGTATATTATTCATTATCGAATAGAAGTATTAAAAGTATCGTCACATTTATTGCTTTTGTATTTATACAGATAGGCGTCTGTACAAATTCATTATTGTGATTTATTTGGGAGCTGTATTTATTCGACGAGATGAATGTAGTAAGATGTATTGTATATTTAATGGCATAATCAATTAATACATTAATATGAATATTGCAGCTGCATGACCAGCCATCTTTTAAAAAATATAAATATCAAATTCCAGTAATTTAAAATTTTTACTAATATCATTTTGACAGCACTGTACAGTACATTGGAGTTGACCGAAAAGTCCAGATATTCGCAATGACATCAGTGCCCCAGCGTCTGGCCAATAAAGTGACCTTGCTCGACTATTTCGCTACATACATGGACGAGCATCTGATAAAGGTAATATTAATATTATAAGATTGCGTGTATCTGATTAGCATAACGTACCAATTGATCATGGAGACAAACCTGGTTACGTAATTTTGTTGCTGCTGTGATGGGTGAAAAATGCTGCGCCAGATGGTTGCCTTGAATTGCGCATTGACATACAATATGTTGATAGACGAAGAGGATATGCAAATCGTCCTCGTTTATCCGGTTTCGTGTAACACTATTAATAGCAGATAATAAAGTAACAACAAAATAATAATATTAAGACTGTTTATTTGCCGCCAAGATAGTTCTAGTAAAATGAATTGATCTATAAATGGCCAAACAGTTAAATATTAAATGCCGTGCATGCTTTTGAACCGACACTCTTCCACTTTTCTATGACGTCATTTCTAGCTTCTCCTCAATGTTGACTAATAAGTAACTAACTGGTGATGGTCTGTTCCTCCCCTCTTTCTTTTCTCTTCCTTTCCTGGTTTCTACAGGGTGAGACCGACCTTCCAAGTCCTCTACTGGCTAGAAAGGTATAACCCCTCTCTTCTTATCTGTATTTCTTCTCGTATTTTAAGATGCGCGAGATTTCGTAACTGTATTCTGTCTACAATGTTTATTTCCTTTTTTTTCGTAATGTTACTACGCCTCCTCTTTATCATGCGGAGTTTTATGGAAATGATTTTTTTTTACTGAACATTTACTTTTAACATGAAAATTAGGGAGGCGATTTAGAATCAAAGGAGAAGTCCAGTCCTACGAAGAGGAAAGTGTTGCAGAGTGAGCCAGGAACAGCCGTACAGCCGTTTATGCAGAATTGGACGAAGACCAAAGATTCCATCACTATGTATCTCAGTAACGGTGCATTGCAGGTACGTGTTCCAACAACAGCATATTTCATACCAGAATTGCCATTCGGGCTGATATCTAGGCATTCGAGATTGTTACAAATCCGTAGATTAGTACTGTCAACCATTGACATTTAGACGGAAGTACGTCACATACGTAAATACATTTTCCCATCCCATAATACTACACTAAAACGATTTATCAAAAATAGTATAGGTCCCACAACTGTCCTATATATATATATCATTTTTCATGTCGTGCTGTTATTTGGTCAAGTGACGTCAACCGCGATTATTTGTTCCCATTTTAAAATCTATAAATCATCCACACGTTCTGTCGTGGTAGATAAACTTATACCCGCATAAAAAAGCTACTTTTCAAAATGCCAGCCTTTTATGGATGTTGTTGTTTGCGTCATGAAGCTTTTGTCTCTGGCTAAAAATAACAAAATTCGTAATTAATAAAATGACGTAGTGTCCTGTGTGGAATACGTACATCAGCCATGTTTCTGGCGGTTTGCTCTGCGAATGATTTGTTGAGACTATTGTTCCTCTTTTTATGATGTAGGGCGATAGAGGGCGAACACACTGTGAAGGCTGTTGGAGGACCACGCTAGTCTGTGTTTAATTATTTGTTTTTCTCTCCCCTATGTAGATCAATTTCTTCGAGGACCACACCAAGATTGTCCTTAGTTACAACAACAGTGACCACTTGGTAACATACGTGGACAATGAACGTATTTGCCACACGTATCGTTTGTTGCACGTGGCGCACTACGGATGCCCCGCTCATCTACATGCACGAATGTTGTACAGTGTGAACGCAGTCAAAAATATTGTGGCACAGGAAGCGGCAACGACGTCCACATAACATTAACCATTTCAGGTATTTTGTCGAAATGGATTTTTTTTTGACTGATTAATGATGAAACTGAATAGTGAAGTCGTACTGTTTACCACAAAGAAGATTACGTTGACTTTGCCAAAGAAACACTGCGTTATTGTGAACACTGATGGTTACAGCTACGTGTATATACGAAACGTTGTTGACTTAGATCCTATGCACTTAGTGGTTAAACAGGGTTATTTTATTTGATCTGTGGTGCTAATTTTTGTTTCGAACCTGACATAAATCTTCTATGTAGAGGTATTTTTTGGGGCGTCACCTTTCAAGCAATGGCGCCTGGTTATATGCTTTACGTCCAATCCGTTCATCCAACTAACTTGGATTATGCTTGTATAAAAACGTGCTTCCGTAAATTCTAGTTGTTGCCATAGAGGGCTCATGGTTGATTTGCTTTTTTACGAGAGTACATGTACCGACATTGCATATATATATATATTTATGTTGATAGATTTGTCGAAAATGTAGTGTTTATTTAATTTATCGAGTTTATCAGAGTTTGACTGCCAACTATATTGTATATTATATTGTACAAGTGCGCATGTGCCTTAAAAGTGGTGCGTCGTCAACGGGTTGCTTTGTCGTTGAGGGCGGGTGTGTTGATGTTAATCTCTCTATGACGAATAGATTTTGGAATCTGGTTTGTGCTGCGGGATCATTGCACAACGATTATCCTAATCATTCTGACGAGTAAGAAAACTCAATAAATCGTTATTTTAATTTATTGTAATGCGAGTTATTTTTCTATTTGTTGCGTTTCTTCTAAAAAAAAAATAGTCCGGTCGAGAGTGGATGCGCTGCAGCAATTTTTATGAAGTCCAGTACTGCGTTACTAAACCACACGTATATTGTGTAGGAAGTCTCTTGACAATAATGTGCGTTTTATGGAACAAAGATAGGACGGATTTGTGTAGGGACCAGAGAAACTAAACACGCACACGAATGTAATAATTATTTGGTTCCACTAAAGAAATTTACATGACTACCTTCATCTTGCTTTCAGTTCACTTCTTACTGTGTACATATATGTTTTTCAATTTTATGAAGAATTACAAATCTGAGTGGGTGTTTTTTCTGGGTATTTAATCCACAAATATAAATGTTATAAAGTTTGTCTTTTGAGAAAATAAAGAGTATGTGACAAAATAATACTATCGTCTGTGTAAATGAATTTCAAATCGTCCAAAAGCGAATTTCTTCAAGTTGACAAATTTTGTAGTTTGTGACATTATTTTGAGAATAAAATTCCACCTGATGACTATCATATTTTATGTTCAAAATCTTGCGATCCTCCCTCCATAGCCGCTACTATTTGAACTTGACTGGTTCTGTTTACACAAGATGCAGACATGTTGAGTCGGTTTTAAGACTGTTTTGGGCCATTGAGAGAATTCTTGATGTATTGATAAAAAACAATAGAAGTGGTAATTAAGGGTACAGAAATTAACTTTTGTAAATTGATTTGCATGACCAGTTAGAGTAAACTACAAATCCAAACTGCACTCTATTATAGTGGGTTTTTCCCATTGGGTAAATTGTGTACAGTAAACGTACTTCGTAAAAGCCACCAGTTAGGGGCGGGTGGTAATACAACTACATATCATGTTGACCATGTATAGAATTGAATAAGTCAACGACAACCTTGAAGCCGCCAAACTCGCGACAAAACTCTTCAAAGGCGTCAAAATAACTAACTTAGTTTAAAAACTTCATAATTGGGTCATTTAGAATGTAAAGTCTCAAACATTCTGTGTGGATGTGTGTGCGAGCCACAGGTATAAACAATATGAACAGTGTCATCAGTAGAGTCCCTTGCACACATTTGAGTCGCAGTTCTGCCGTGTTAGACTGTTCGCCTTTTCAACAAGTGGTTCTATATGGCGAGAATATGAGCAGTTCCAAATTCTTGGGGTTCAGAATCTGACGTCGTCCAAAATAGATTATTCGGCAGTCTAAATCATTTTAAACATTTTGTCGCTAGAGGGCGAACTTTATTTTCCCAGTTAATGTTGGTATTGACATGAACCCTATACTTTCTATGGCATAGAAAAGAACCATTGCAACTGTTTGGCAAGGCGATTACCATTATTAGGCAGTATTTCGTCATTTGAATAACATAAAATCGGGCACTCGTGTCGGTCTTTTATGCATGTTCTTTACGTAATGAAGCTTTTGTCCCTGGCGAAAAGTAACAAAAAATGTGATTAATATAATGACGTAGTGTCCTGTGTGGAATGCATACATTATCAGCTATGTTTCTGGCGGTTTGCTCTGTGAATGATTTTTTTAGACTATTGACAAATATAAAAAAATAAAGATCGTTTGTACTTTGTGAATACAAGAACATCGCAGAGGCCAGTTATGCCACATAAATTAAGTCTTATTGGTCTTTTTAGGTCAAATTCATAATGAAAATCGTACACCACACATTTTTATTCATATAATGAATGCAAATCTCAAACATGGATATGGGGAATGTAAACCATACACGTGTATGCACATGGGGAATGTAAACCATACACGTGTATGCACATGGGGAATGCAAACCATACACGTGTATGCATATGGCGAATGCAAACCATACACGTGTATGCATATGGGGAATGTAAACCATACACGTGTATGCAAATGGGGAATGCAAACCATACACGTGTATGTATATGGGAAATGCAAACCATACACGTGTATGCACATGGGGAATGTAAACCATACACGTGTATGCACATGGGGAATGTAAACCATACACGTGTATGCACACGGGGAATGTAAACCATACACGTGTATGCACATGGGGAATGTAAACCATACACGTGTGTGTATATGGCGAATGCAAACCATACACGTGTATGCATATGGGGGGATGTAAACCATACACGTGTATGCAAATGGGGAATGTAAACCATACACGTGTATGTATATGGGGAATGCAAACCATACACGTGTATGCATATGGGGAATGTAAAGCATACACGTGTATACACAAGGGGAATGTAAACCATACACGTGTATGCACATGGGAAATGTAAACCCATACACGTGTATGCACAAGGGGAATGTAAACCATACACGTGTATGCACAAGGGGAATGTGAACCATACACGTGTATGCACAAGGGGAATGTAAACCATACACGTGTATGCAGAAGGAGAATGTAAACCGTACACGTGTATGCACTTGGGGAATGTAAACCATACACGTGTATGTATATGGGGAATGCAAACCATACACGTGTATGCATATGGGAGAATGTAAACCACACACGTGTATGCACATGGGAAATGTAAACCATACACGTGTATACACATGGGAAATGTAAACACGTGTATGCATGTGGGAATGTAAATCATACACGTGTATGCATATAGGAATGTAAACACGTGTATGCATACGGGAATGTAACCATACACGTGTATGCATATGGGAATGTAAACACGTGTGTGTATATGGGAAATGTAAACACGTGTGTGCATATGGGAAATGTAAACGCGAGTATGCATATGGGAATGTAAATACGTGTATGCACATGGGGAATGTAAACACGTGTATGCACATGGAGAATGTAAACACGTGTATGTATATGGGAATGTAAACAAGTGTATGCATATGGGGAATGTAAACACGTGTATGCATATGGGGAATGTAAACACGTGTATGCACATGGGGAATGTAAACACGTGTATGCACATGGGG